ATTGGTTGCTTTCCAAGTTTCTTCTCTTGTTTTTTTATTATTCATTTATATTTTTGTTGTTTCTTTGTTCCTCTGTGTTTCATTTTTGGTTATTTCTTGGTGCCCAGTAAATGAGAGCTGACAGATTTCACTACGCATTCCATAAATATTTACTGGGAGCCATCTGCTGGTTTCTTCTGTTTATTTTTCCTTTCTACAAGTACCCAAACAAGGATTGTTTTCTTGATGCCATTTACATTCCTTCTCTACCTACCTACAGAAAACATAAACAAGGGCTGGATGCATTGACTACAGAGGTTAAACACCTGCTCAGTTGCTTTTCCCAAATGCAAAGATGAATCTGCCACAGTATTAAGTTTGGTCCTATTTATGCACCTGGAGGAAGAACACTTTCTGGAGCCTGGGTAGCTCAGTTGGCAGAGCATCAGACTTTTAATCTGAGGGTCCAGGGTTCAAGTCCCTGTCCAGGCACTGTGGTCCTTGCCTTCCCTGGGTCTGAGAATTGTCAAGTTTTGTCTTTCAAAAAAAGAAATTTGGGTTCCACTTTGACGACTTTTACCTGATGGAGTGAGAAAACACCAAAAAGTCAGTCACCTGCAACCTTAACCAAAGTAGCTGAGACCTGCTATTCTCTTCCAAGCAGAAAAGGACTTCAGTGCTTCTTAATAGAGATTTCCCCAGGAGCACAGTACAAAGGCTTACAGTCCAAGGAGTGTAAGAAAGCTATCCCTCCAGACTAGGGTGTTTTTGAAAAGGATCTAGAAACGATACTTATTGAGTGAAGTGTTCGCTGTGTCAAAACCTGGGACCCAAAACCTGGGATCTTCAGTCCTTCACACTCACAACTGAGCTTCTTGGCAGATGGGGAGAGCTGTCTGCCAAGTCCTGGTGATGTCACATTCTAATATGAGACAAAGGATGCCGCGTTACTTGACAGACACTGCAGTAAGGTCTTGGGTGAAATACTCAGCATCCCCAGAAACATGGATACTTTGCTGTTCATTTCCGCAGTCTGGGCCAATTGTGAGTTGGTGGTGCAGACTGCTCAGTGGCTTGTACTTTTCTCTAGAGACATACATTTCCCCTCCCTCTCTGCCTAAGGATTGTACTTCCCATTTCCTTTGAAGACGGTATGATGGTTTACATAGAAAATCCCAAGGACCCAAAAACAAACAAAATCCTCTTAGAACAATTATGTGTGTTCAGCAAAGTCACAGAATACAAGATCAAAATGCAAAAGTCAATTGTATTTCTGGACACCAGCAATAAACATGTGGGCACCAGAACTAAAATACAGTTCCACATACATCGCTTAAAAAGATAACTTAGAAGCAAATCTACTGGAACATGGACGTGCTGAAAAACACAAAACCACAAAAAGCTGATGAAAGAAATTGAGGACCTAAATAAATAGAGAGATATTCTGTGTCCATTGATTGAAGACTCAGATAGGTCAAGTCTTATCAAAGTTAGATACAGGTTTAACAAAATTCCTATCAAAATCCAGGTGAGTTATTTTTGTAGATATGAACCTGACTATTCTAAAATCTATATGGAAAGGTAAATGAGTTAGAATAAGACAAATTTTGAGAAAAAGAGAAAGTGGAAGAAATCACTCTTATTATTTCAAGATGTTCGACAGACACAGTAATAAAGACTATACATTACTGGCAGAAGGATAGACATACAAGTCAGTGAGACAGTACAGAGAACCCCAAAATCACCACATACATAATAGCCGAGTTATTTCTGACAAAAGTACAAAAGCAATTTAGTAGAGGGAGGAAATCTTAGTCTTTTCAAAAAAATGGTGGTGGAGAAATTTGATATTCCTAGACAAAAAAGAAAAAAAGGCATTAATCTCAACCTAAACCTCACACTCTATTAAAAAATTAACTGGAAACGATAGATTGAAAGTAAAAGATAAATGTATACAACTTCTAGGAAAAAAAATAAGAAAATTTGGAGGACCTCAGATCGGAGAATTGTAGACATGACACCAAAAACACACCCATAAAAGACAAATTTGACCAACTAAATTTCATTAAAATCAACAACTTTTGCTCTGCAGAGGACCCTCTTAAGAGGGTAAAAAGGTAAGTTACAGATGGGAGAAAATGTTTGTAAACCACACATCTGGCAAAAGACTCACAGTAGAATATACAAAGAACTCTCAAAACTCAACATTAAAGCAACAGTTGGAAAATGGGCAAAAGACACGAAGAGACATTGCACCAAAGAGGATATACCAACAGCACATGAAAAGATGTGCAATAACACTACTCAGTTAGTAGGAAATGTGAATTAAGACCATAATGAGGTATCACTGCACATCTGTTAGAAGAGTTAAAAGAACAAATTTTTTAAAAAAAGATTTTATTTATTATTTGACGGAGAGATAGAGAGCACAAGTAGACAGAGCAGCAGGCAAAGGGAAAAGCAGACTCCCCACTGAGCAGGGAGCCCCAATATGGGACTCGATCCTAGGACCCTAGGATCATGACCCAAGCTGAAGGCAGATGCTTAACCGACTGAGCCACCAGGCACCCAAATGAACAAGCCTTGTTTGACACTGCCTATGGCTGGATACGACGCAGCGACTCTGCATCTGTCGCCTATGGCTGATGGGAATGGGAGATGGTGCAGCCACTTGAGAAAGCAGTTTGGCAGTTTCTTAAAGAAACTACACATAACACTCACTCTACGATCCAGCAATTCCACTGCTTGGCATCCATCCCAGAACAATGAAAACTTAGGTCCATAGAAAAACCATGCACTATTCTTCAGAGACACCTTATTTGTAACAGCCCAAACTCGAAATAACCAGCAGGTCCCTCAGCGGGTGACTGCTTACACCAACTGTGGTATCTATTCCATGAAATACAGCTCAGCAGTAAAAACCATGAGTGAACCACTGATATATGCAACCATTTAGATGGATCTCAAGGGCACTGTGCTAGATGAAAAAAGCCAATCTTAAAAGGTCACATACTTTTTGAGATCCATGTATATATATCAGTTTCAAAATGACATTCCAGGGAGGAAAAACAGATGGGTGATGACCGGAAGTGAAGGATGGTAGGGAGCAGCGGGTGGGTGTCAGTATGGAGAGAGCATGAGAGAGATTATTTGTGGTAACACAGTGGTTTCGTATCTTGGTTGCAGTGGTGGTTACACAAATCTACGCATACAACAAAGTGACAGAATGATAGAATGACACACACACACACACACACACAGAGCAACCGAAGGTGAGAAGTACTCATCCTAGGGAAAGTGTGAGGGAAATTAATACACAAGCATCTTTGAGGTATTCACAGAAAACGGAGGGTGGGTGGCATCTATCCAAAGCCTTTGGGTTTATTGATCCTGCCATTTGCACAAAAGCTTGAAGAAGGCATGGGGCGGGGTGTAAATCCTATAGATATATGAGGTAAGAATTCTCTTAGTAGAGGGAACCATCAGAACAACATATTGGATGCAAAAATCCTTCAGGAGATGAAGGGGAAAAGAAAGCACCCCACAAACGTAGGACAGAGGTGGAAAAAGCTGAACCAGAGAGGACTTCTTTAGAATGCCCAATATTCCTTCACCCACTGCGGGAATAAACACGCAGAGAGGCACACAGGGTATAGACTCTCAGAGAGTTAACACGGTTACTGTGTCATACCAAAAAGAAAAGCTGGTGGAAACCAACCTTTTCCTTAACTCTTTGACTGCTGGTCCCGCCCTCAGGAAAAGGTCACTGTCTTCCACTCCATTATCCCACCCCAGAGGGACAAGGCATTTCTAATACCATTATAAAGGCGACAGTGTTTTTCAGTCCATCCTGTGTCTCAGAAGTGAATGAGTGTAAAGTCAATATTTTGGGAAAAGGTCAAGGCTGGTATTTTAATAAATGAAATAGAATACAATAGGAACAGGAAATATCAGAATGGACCCATGTAGTAAAATGTTGTGTGGTGGAGTTCGGTTTCTCTCTCTAGATGGATGCAGTTAAATATACTCTCTATAGAGACACATACTTGTTTTCATACGGTATTAAGCTGTGATTTAAAATATATTTCTGACTCCGGGTTGCAGTCAGAAATACTGTAATAACTGCTTTTTGAGAGAATACAGCATCTTTTGAAGATGGCGGCATCTCCACGGGATGAGGAAGATCTTGGAGGGTAAAAAGCCCGAGAGGAGGAATCACGTTTCGTCTTGCATCCCGAGTATTCCTGGGGGCTTAAGGGGAACAGGTTGCCCGCGGTCTGGTTCCTGCCTCTGGGCTCCCTCCTTCTTCACGTGCATCTGGGGAAACAAATCTGAATTTCATACCACCCTCGTCCCCGTCTTGGCCTGAGGAAATCTGCGCCAACGGAAGCTCCGTCCCACCCCGACCGCGGTAAGAAGGCCCAAACGAAAGGCCCTTTGAAGGGAGGGCCTCCCAGGAAGCGAGGGAAACCTGAAATGGGCCGAAGTGACTAGCGATGTTTCTCCGTCTGCCTCCGCGAGGGGACGCTGGAGTCTGGGAGCTGCCCGGCTCCGGAGGCCGCGGCCGGAGCAGCAGGAGCGGGGCGCGCGAGGGGTGCGCACCCCGGCTCAGCCCGGGGAACGGCGGTGCGCAACCTCCCCCGCCGACCCGCACCCCCTGGGTTGTGCTCTGCGCGCCCCGGCTCTGCCCCGGGAAGGGCCGCATGCGCCCCAGATCTGCCTGTAGAAAGGCCGCGTGCGCCCAGCTCTGTCCCGGGAAGGGCAGTGCGCAACGTCCCCCACCGGCCTGCGCCCGCTGGGCTGTGCTGTGCGCGCCCCGGGGAAGGGCCGGGTGCGCCCCAGCTCTGCACCGGGAAGGGCTTTGCGCGCGGCGGGGAATCGGAGCGGGGTCGTCGCCTGGGCCCGCCGCTGTGCTCGCCACTCTTCCCCAGAGTAAAACGCCGCAGAGGCCGCTCCCTCAGTGTAACCGCGGACGGGGAAACGGAGCGAAGGGAGACACCAGCGTGCAAGCCACCGCCTAGCCGTGCGGCTGAGCGAGCTCCCCGACGCGCGGCATCCTCGAGTTGACCTTGGTAAAGAGAAGAGGTCCACGGTGGTGCAGACGGGCCCTAGCACCGAGCGTCCTCACAGACGCAGCGACAAACGGGGGCTGGTGTTCGGGGACGTCCTAACGAGTTCTGCTCTCTCATAAAAGCCACAGGAAATGGAAGCCCCTATCTTTATTAGTCTCTTATTTTTTCTCTCTGTCACAACGGCTGCAAACGAGGTCCAACTGACATTGCGGCCACCATGTAATCACTTGAGCTGTAAGTTGGGTTCATTCCCTTTATTCCGGGCGCATCGTCCTTGTGGAAGTCTGCGGCCTTGCAAGTAAATACAAAACTTTTTTTAAAAAATCCAAACAATTGTCCTTGAGACTTTTGGAGAGGAAGCAAGCGCTGCGGTCAACACGATTCCTCTCTCATTGATGGTGATTCAGGGTCGTCTCCGGCTGCTCGGATTCCGCCCAAAAAGGCTCTACCGGGTTTTTCTTGGCTCGCTCTTCCTCGGCTCTCCGAGCGAAGAGCCGCTCCAGAAAGCTAATAAAATTAAGAGAGAGAAAAAAAAAAAATCCCGAGCTTGGACACTCTTTTGGCAGGTTGGAAAAGCGCAGCCCAGGAGGGGACGGCCCTTGGCCACCTGGTCGTGAGGGGGCGGTTCTCCCGCACGGGGAGAGGAGGGTGACTAAACCCATGAGAAGGGAAGGAGTTAGGGGAAAAGGATCATTTTCCCAGCGTGGAAAACGTGATCCTCATCATTAATAGAAAAAACAAAAAGCCAAAGGACACAAGCAGAGTGGCGCAGCGGAAGCGTGCTGGGCCCATAACCCAGAGGTCGATGGATCGAAACCATCCTCTGCTAGGAAGCTTTTTTTATGCCTGCTTCCCCCGTGCTAAGTTTTATTCATTAGGCTATGACAAAAGCATAAACGAGTTCCTAGATCTTTCACATCCTCCTCTACTTTGGATTCCTCTTCCCCAGCTTTCTTTGAAATTATGCTGTCTCCCGGAAGACAATTCTCAAAGGTTTCTACCAACCTGAAGTTCCCGGAACTGTAAAATTCTTTCCATCCAGGGTGTCCAATAAAGGAGTCGTTGGAGTATTCCTTCAGCTGAGGTGGTCTTACAGAGAAGGAAGTGACAAACTCTGTATTTACTTCTGTTACATCTTCCAGTAAGGGGGTTTTCAAATTTATTATCTACTTGTGATTTTTTTTAAAGATTTTGTTTATTTATTTTGACAGAGACAGAGATCACAAATAGAGAGGCTGGCAGAGAGCGGGGAGGGGAGCAGGTGACCCCAGGCCGATATGATTTAAATGTTATATTCTGAGACCTCTGGGGCCTCTTGAGAAATGGTGAGTGTGTTTTGCGTATGGAACAGACGTAGATCCTTGGTGGCCAGAGGCCAGGCTCTGGAGGAAGCCTCCAAGATGACCGCCAATGATCTTTACCTCTTGATATTCATGTCCTTGCATAGCTTTATAGGTCATTGTATCAGGGATGGTCTTTTGTGACCAAACTTATGTGATGGATCTGGCTCAATGGGAAGCCAGTCCTTAAGCCTGGAGCAGCCCTATGGGGGGTGGGTATGAGGAAGTGAGACTTCCTGCCAACACCTCCTGGAGCCCGGGGCCCAGGATCCTTCCAGCCACCGTCAAACACTGAGATGACTAGAGCTCTAGCTGTCTTTTTGTTTGCAACCTCGTGAGAAACCATGAGCTGGAACTACCCAGATAAGACATTCCTCAATTTCTGACCTCTAGACACCATGAGATAATGTTGTTTTTTCTAAACCGCTGAATTTGGAGTTGTTAGAGAAATGAGTAATACAAAGCTCAAACTATGTTTGGGACTTAGGGCTCCCTGAACTACTCAGGAAATGCATCCAGGATGCCCATGGACTCAGAGGTGCACTGTGGGGGCTCTGGCTTCTCAGGACCGGGATGTTTTCCATTTCTTTTACCCCACAGCTTTCCTAAGGGACAAGAGCATTTTCCCTGCAGTTCAACCCTCCGAGTGAGAGTTGAGTTTTCTCTCTAGGTCATCATTAATGATAATATAGGGTTGTTCTCCATTTTGAGGGGCTCCCAATGACATCACTTTGCCTCAAAGTAGCAACTGCCAAAACAGAAGTGTAATTTTGCCTCCCCGAGTAAGCACTCTAAGAGCTACCAGGCTGAGCTGCTTTATGTTCTTTTCCTTCTAGGCTCTTTTTCTATGTGTCCCTTAGGCCTCTTTAATGTTACTTATTGTCATTTTCTAACATGAATTCTTTTTTTTCTTTTTTAATTTTATTTAAGTCATCTCTATACCCAACATGGGGCTCAAACTCATGACCCCAAGATGAAGAGTCACAGGTTCTTCCAACTAAGTCAACCAGGTGTCCTTCTAGCATGAACTCTTGTAGAACTGATTAAGAGCATACATATTGATTTATAACATTCTTAAGCTTTTAAAGAGTGGATTTATAACTTTTTAAATCACACACATCATAGGAGTGCAGGTCAATAAATTTCCACACAGAAAACCCACAAGTAAGCTCCATCTAGTTCAAGAAGTAAAATACTGCCAACACCTCAGAGACAACCATTGTCTACCTGTCAGTCACTTTTCTCTGAAAAGGAACCATTATCCTAACTTCTTTTTGTTTTGTTGGGTAGGCCCCATGCATGGAGCCCAGTGCAGGGCTTGAATTCATAGGCTCTGAACTTGATTTTACCATGTAGTAACATTTTTAAAATTTTTACTACATTAGAATTTTTTATTGATGTAGTTTCTGTTGTTAGAATTTCTATGTACATTATATTGTATGTACTCATCTACAATGTGCTCTTTTATTCTTGATGAGACTTTCTTAGATTGACTCTAAAGGGATTGTTTCCAAATTTTTATCTAGGGGTAATCAGGACTACTGTCTACAGTCATAAGGATTCTAAAGCCATGCTCTCCTGCAATTAAAGTATCTTTTATCGGTATTTTTTAGATGCAAGAGAAATCCCCATCGTAAACAAGTGGAAATGATCATATTTGAAATGACACAGGTAGATCTGGAAATTCTATTATCATATGAATACTAGTGATGTTCTCCAGCATCAGGTTTTTCTCATATACAGAGCCCATATGAATGGAAAGACCCAAGTTAGTCCCATAGAAGAAAACAAAACAGCTCACTAGCAAGAGGACAGTACAGGTGGCTTTTTGTCTCTGGAAAAGACTGTGGAGAGAGGCTGGGACTGTAGATAAGCATGGCTGTCTTGTGACGCCTGAACAGGACAATCACCATGCAGAAACTGGTCTAAATCATGAAGAACAAAAAGAAGAAATCGTGCATAAACATGACACTTTGAGATAACACTGCATAATGGTATGTGAGCTGTCTTATTTTACAGAACATCAGAGAATACACAGGTCCAAGATCAGTGGAAGTGCCAGTAGCAGGAGAACTTACAGTCACCCACATGTTGATTAGCCCATTGCTTATCCAGGAAATAAATGAACAAGGGCAGAATGTGTGTGAAGATTCTGGGCTTGAACCGTGCCCACCTGGAATGAGCGGGACTGATAATAATGACCTGAGATGGACTTAGTAGCGAAGAAGTGCAAATACAAGCCCTCCGTGTCACTGCTCTACAACCAATGTCCTCCAAAATATTTCTAATTCCAAAGGATGTTATCATATACGGGGCCCCTGCCATCAGCCAAAGTTAGGTGAGTGAGAATCACATCTAATGACTTTTTCTGATGAGGCTGAATGAATAAAATGTGCATATATATAATGAATGGCAGGAAGTTGCCCATGAATCCAATGCCAGTTTGAAAGAGAACTAAAATTCCCCAAATTGATTCAGTTGAAAACAAAACATTCATGGCTTTTTCTGGAACTTGACACTGAAGCAGCATAGCTTAAAGAGTCCCATTAAGTGTATTTCAAATATGAAACTTAGCCACTGAGGCCTCAGAACAAAGGTTCAAATGCTCAACTGTCTGAGGAATTCATAGTGCATCTGTGACACTTGCAGAGGCTGGACACCGCGTACTGTTCGAATGTCTGCAGAAGAGTCTAGGGTTATGAGCAGTTGAGCTCCATGTGCCTACTTTCACCATTGTTCTAGGCCGTTTTCCAGGAAAATTTTGCATGTAATAAAAAGCAAATTTTCTTCCAATTCTAATATTGTTTTTTAATTGTAAACTCCTAGTTTTAATTATTTTGTCCTTTTTATGGACAGCAATCCTTGTAACTAACAACAGCAGTACATGGAGAGAATCCCACTTTTCAGAAGGATAATTGCCACACACTGTTCTTTGACGAATCATAAAATATATTTAGAGCACACAGTTAATAAGTACTGAATAGTTTCTGCTGTTAAAATGCTAATTTTGCTTGTTATGAAAAACATCCTTTGCTTAGGGAACATATTTAGTATGTTTACAGATATAGTGAGGGTTAATCAGATGCCTTAAGGAGGTGCTAAAAAATATGCTCGAAATAAGATGAAACCAGAGAGGGAGACAATCCATAAGGGACTCTTAACTATAGGAAACGAACTGAGCGCTGCTGGAGGCGAAAGAGGCGGGGGAAGGGGTAACTGGGGGATGGGCATTAGGGAGGGCATGTGATCATGCAGTGTTACATAAGACTGATGACCCACTGACCTCTACCTTTGAAACTAATAACACAATACATTTAATTAACTGAATTTAAGTAAAATAAAATTAAAAAACAAAACAAATTTGCTTACCAGTCAGGCCACAAGGACGACAAAGTCTCTATCATTTAATTAACGAACAGCCCTTCTCCAGACACTGAATTACCACCTAGCAATTCCATAACTATCCTTTTTTTTTTTAAAGATTATTTATTTATTTATTTATTTATTTATTTGACAGAGAGAAAGAGAGGGAACACAGCAGGGGGAGTGGGAGAGGGAGAAGCAGGCCTCCTGCTGAGTAGGGAGCCCTAATGGGATTGGGGGGGCCCCCTCGATTCCCGGGATCCTGACCTAAGCCGAAGGCAGAAGCTTAATGACTGAGGCACCCAGGCGCCCTGTAACTATCCCTTTTTAAGGACAATGTATATGTAGAAATCTTAACTTAAAAAATTATGTCCTTTTTGGTTTTTTTTTCATTCTCTTCTTTTAAAATCTATTCC